CGAAACGACCACGCCGGATGTGATGGGAGAAACCGTGACAGTCGCGTAAAGGGAAGGACGTTATGGCAAGGCAAACATTCTGGACATAACTTTAAGACATCTATATAGGTGTAAGATGATGTATATGTGTTTTTTTCATTTCTTCAACTAAGAGTCCAGGTCTTCTACACTTACTTTCGACATGTTTCTAACCGGTTATTGGCCTTTGGCCTCCTTTGGTCTACTATACGAGGGCGGTTGGGACAACAAGACCTCATGATCCTAGCCCCATGGTATTACTGTATTACAGAATTCTTCCCATTCCACCTGTTCAGATCCTGGAGTGTCATGGGTCAAGTTCCCTCAAAAGAGTCCGACGTTTGTAGACATATCGTTTGAACAGCTCAAGTTTGAACAGCTCAAGATTGAGAACAAAGTCGGCGTATGAGCTCAAGTTTCCCTAAAAATCTAGGAACCACAAATACGGTGAGCTATCCTGCGTCCACACTAGTAGCGTCTCAGTAGCTAGGAGGGAACTTTTCCCTTACCCCTTACCTAGATACGTAGCCAGTCTCTATTTAATTAAGTAAGGAGGCAGGGCCACGGGCTAAAAGAACAAAGCTCACCATGTCTCACCGTACAGTTCGCTTTCGTCTTCCATGTTTTTGCAGGTCTTGGGCGAACTCCTCATGGGGATCCAGCTGGAGAGTTCCACTCAGGCCTCGGAGCCGTGGGGAGCACCAACCGGTGGGTGGGGGAGCGTAGTACCAAGCGAGGGCCAAGACGTGGGATGACCTCTGTTAGGTCCTCTTCGTAGGTACCTGATTTACAACGCGAATGGCCTTTTGTTCATCAAGAGCCTACATTCTGTGGCTTTGGCAGTCGCCTGTGACTAGAGCATGCATGCATGCATGCTAATTCTGATTTTGAGGCATGGGAGGAGTACCCAACTCAAAACTACCCAGTCGTTGCCTTTTTGTGGGTGCAGAGGACGCAACATGTTCTGTTTGTCACTCAACTACTCTGACACTAGAGATTTGGCATCTCCTCATCACTGGTGTGCTCATGATCCAGTCCAGCACCCTATCCCTATCTTCATCCAGCCTGAGCAACCACGTGCTTCACCCCATGCGAACCCCATGAGATGCCTCGCTTCCCAGGCTGAGCTCCCCCCCCAGAAAGAGGGGTCAAGGGAAGAACAAGGCCGGTCGGTGCCCGGTGGTGCGGTGTGTCGACGGTTTGGAGGGTCCGTCATTCGGATCCGTCGAGATTGCATTCGAATGATTCGACGCCGATGGGAACTCAATGGGCCTGGAACAGGGAGTCTAGCCCTGCAGCTTAGAGCAGCTGGGAACTCAATGGGCCTGGAACAGCAGTCCCTGCAGCTTAGAGCAGGTTCGTTGATGTTCCATCAAGAAAGGGCATCGCTACTAGTGGCAAGAGGCTACGAGTAGCTCCTGGCACTACTACTAGGAACAAGAAGCTACTAGGACGCAACTAGTAACAAAGGGCATTACTACGAACGTAGCATTCTGTTGGTTGTTCGTTTCGCCCAGTTCACAGTCGTCAACGTGACGGATTGAGGGCAGCGACAGTGAGAGTGACAGTGACTCGACCGATGGTGGAAGCCTCAACGGTGGAAGCGACAGAAAGTGGGAAAGTCCTTGAGACACAAGTGAGTGTTTGCCAACCTCAGAGGGCGCACGGAAATTGGATGTGAGATCATGTGAGTGTGAGATTTGAACTGAAGCTCCCAAGCCAATCCAGGGAGAAAGCACGGAGGCATAGACTGCCTCTTAATTGCTGTTCATCTCGTTTTGTAAAACTGGGCCGCATCGTGAGCGACCGCACGAAAAGAACGCGTGCCCAACTAGGTGGTGTGTGCGGTCAAACCGTGCGTTTCGGCTTGGTGGACGTCTTTGCCTCTTTGATGCAGATGAGCCCGGAGCATTTTCTGGAGGCGAGCGGTGGCGATTTTGGTGCGGAAGGTGTTGCAGAGATTTTAAGGGAATGTCATGGAGTCATACTTTCAGAAAGGGATAAGGACATTGAAACGAATTGAAACGTCCCTATCTCCAAGTTAGCAGATGAAGGCATTTTCAAGACCTTGGAGAAGAGGAACCCAACTACACCACAGCCTTACCTTTTCAAGTCCTTGTTTCGGCAGCTGCTACCAGGTTGGATTGCCGCTGGACATGGAGCTGGATCCTCATGGAGCTGGATAGACACATTCTGCACGGTTGAAGTGGGCGCAAATATTGGACACAAGGAAGGCATGGCTTCAGTGAAGGGTAAGGCTTCTGTGGGCAACAAGAGCTGTTTTCTTTTTATTTTTCGCAGGGAGGAGACGCTATATATATATATATTTTTTTATTGAGGTGACAACCAGATTGGGGGTGATTTGTGCAAGTACATGTTTCCATTGGCATCTGTTGCCGGGCTGGTGTTGGGTGTTGGGTCTGCCGGTCTTTCGGTCACTTGTTTTGATTGCTTTCTGCGCCTTCCCAGAGCCTTTGATGTGCAACACAGAGCTGGAAGGTGATTCTGAGCGCCACTAGACCCAGTAGCCGCTGATGCATCATCTAACTTCAACGCCGGCATCAGTCTAACTGGAGCTTCTGTTGTGAAAAAACACACCACCAGGGCATGTCACAAGCTTCAGAAGCATCTCCACTGGGGTGCTGCTCTGCTGAGGCTCATGAAGGCTCTGCTTCAAAAGCCCAACGATGCGGACCGGAGTGGGGACACCTGGTCGGAGAGGCCGGAGACAGAGAGCAAACCACTGAGACCATTGAGATGGCACTTACTTGTTGGGTGAATCCGGACCGTTTGGATGTCAGGAGATGGACAGGAACAGGGCCAGACCCTGAAACCATCTGAAACCAGTGAGCGAAATCGCTGAGGCTGTGGCGGTGGTTGAACAACATGTTGTTTGAACAACATGGTACCATTTGCACTCGCCCCTTGCACTCATCCAGTCCTGCGCTTTCAGCCCCTTTCACCCAGCCCGCCTCAGTTGCCCAACGGAACACGTTCACCACGTTCCGATTGACGGACCGGGCTTGGGGAGCGCGAACGGACACTCGGTCGCCCGGTGGTCCGGTGGTTCACCAAGGCTTGGCGCTCTACATGGCCAGTGATGTGGTGGAACACATGGGAGAGCCGCGGGGTCGCAGCGGGGTTGAGCTTAACCAGATTGATTCAAAGACATAAAAACAGATTGGGCTATATTGGGCTTAACTCCTATAGATGTGAAAGAGTGATGCCCGAACTCGGACTGCGAGAAGCTGTTGTAGGGGAAACTGTAGTTTAGGGTCATTTTCAGGTTCTTTGTGGTTCTGTGCTAGTTTAGGGGTTGAGTGTCCATTTGCAAGTAGTGATTTGTTGAACCATCCTTGCAGGTTGAGCTCAAGTCAAGAAAGGATCTCGAAACAGGTTAAGTGCCTGGTCACAAAAGCATAACTATTTTGTTTGCCACATATGTATGGGTTGGTGGAAACAATGAGTTTCGAAGGTAGAAGGACACGTTTGCTGATCCTCTCAGATTACGACTCTGATGCAGAGGATATCAATTTGTGGACCATGTGTGGATAGCAGCTGGGCACAACAAATGGGCACAAGAACGGGGACCCTTCAAACCCGTCGGTGGTTCTTCACCAACCCGGATCCGGGCGCCACCGCTTGGCGCGCAGTGCTTGGCTCACGGGTATCAGGTTGAGCGTGCCATACTGGAACTCCTTCATGGAGGCGGCATGCCCGGAGCTCTCAGAGGCGAAGGGGGTGGTTTCAACCGACCTCCGGAGAGCGATGGGACTCGCGATGGTGTTTTTGTTCACGCGTAATTCATCACGTTTGCACTCACAGTGATACCAAGCATTGGGTCTTTGTTTTCTAAGCACCAAGTGATGCCAAGTGTGAAACAGATCAGAAGTTTTGGTCCATCATCCATCCCAGTGGGGGACAACCTGGGTCTTTCGGCTGACGACGGGACCCCAGCAGCTTGGACTGGACGAAGCTTCTCACCGAAGTGTGGGCAGTCTTCCAACTCGAGGCACACCGAGCTGAGGATGAGGGTCAAAGGGAGGTGTTCTTGTGCTCAATTTTGAGAGCACCGGTGTGAAGGCGTGGATCGATGAGGTATTTCTCGGGAGACATTGTTGAAGATGAATTACACAACATGCCAGACATGGAGCCAGAAAACTAGTTTTGAGAGGAACATGCGCTGGGGCATTCAAAACATGGATAGCCTCATGATCAAAGAATATCAAAGACAAGTCTAATCCTCAAGCTTAAATTTGTCCGGGCCGTGACATAGAGAAGCTGATGAGTATCCAGTGGTTTTGAGGTGCATCGACCTAGGATACATGATACCCTTTGGAAGACGTATCAAGACTCTTAATGCAGGGTTTACTGATTTGATGCAGCTAGGTTTCGTGTGGTGTTTCAGATGATTAAGACTCTTTGGAGATCGCTGGATGACCATGTGCTGAGGCAATTGCATCACCGACAAGTCACCGGTGATTCGACAGCCTGGAAGTCCCAGCAACGAAGTCACGGGTCTGTCGTTCGGCCAAGCAAACGCAAGTGCAAACGAATATGATATGACAGGCTGTCCTGGGGTGGCTGTTGCATCCAAAAGAAGCCCTGGCATTTCATCGTCATGTAAGTCGTCTTGGTAACAACAAGTCGTATGGGACCTCCTGTGGGGTGAATGTGCAGACTTGGTGGAGGTGGGCAGCATCGATTTCACCAGAAGACCCACCAGAAGACCACGTCCGAAACCGGTGACTGGTGCACCGGAAATTCCGGTCACCGGTGACTGGTTGGATTCGCCATTGGTCTTGCTGTGGACCACAGCGCCGACACCGTTGTGAGGCTAAGCCTCTCACCCTTTCAGCGTACTCTTGGGGTTTGTCCGTTCTTAGCTGTAACAGTCAGTAAATCAATTATTGCTATTTTTCAACAAGGGCTTTACTAGCCATCATCATCCACTGTTACATGCAGGTATTAGGATAGACCCAACGTATTCTATCCTTTGCTGTGGATGCGTGGATGGCTCAAGGGGTAGCGCCCATGCCATGGGCGTGGTCTCCCAGGCCTTGCAGAAAGGCCTCCCAAACGTAGCGGCCCTCAGCTTCGGCTGCCGAAGCTGGGAGCTTGGGCCTAAATGTGGCTGATTCTCTTCTGGCTGCCAGTGGTTTGGGCAGATCTACCGGTGCATTGTTTACATCATGAGATCCTGGGACGATGAAACTTCATGCTGAGCCCACCCAGTCCTGAACGATCCTCCTGCGGCCATTTGAGGCCCGACTCGGTGGATTTCCAGCCACGGAGAGATGATGTGCAGGTGGGCAAACATCTGACCATCTCCCTGATGGATCCCAATGTGGCGGAAGATGAACATCTTCAGCGAGGGACATGGACCATGGTCTATGATGAGGGCTTTGAAGTCGAGATTAACAACCTGAACTTCTTTGCCTTCTCCAACTTTAGCTTTGAACTTGCACAAGGAGGAAGCACCAAGCACAATATCTCACACTGCGATCAAACCATGGTCGGCTGGTATCACAACACGGATCGAACAGAGTTCGGCTGCTACTACGGCAGCAAGGTGATGACACAGGAGGGCGATCCTCCCGCGACAAACCGCGCGGCGGGCGACATGTTGGACGTGATTTTTGTTATGATTCATGATTCATGACGAGTCCCACTGTTATAATATGAAATACTTAGTTGGGGACGGCCAAAGGGTTTCTGATTCGGACACAGCCACTCTGTTCACCAATCGGCCGTGGACGCAAAATGCACATTATGTAAGCCAACTGCCAAGCAGGATTTATGCATTTTTTCACCATGCTCATCCTGTGCTTGGTGATTTCACCTGGAAGCACCTCCGACCAGGAACCGCCCGCTGAGCAAGCCGCCGCTGTGCGCCCCGTCCATTTGGGTGGCTCGGTGAAAGCACACACCGAGGCTCAAGAGATCCAAGAATCATCCATCATCATGCCCAAGAAGTTGTAGTTTGACAGTGACATGTCTCGATGGAGTGTTGTTTCATCATCGCTTGGGGTGATGTTAGGTGCAATCTGTTTAGAATCTTGGCCGTTGACAGGTGACACCTGTTTCCAACTGAGGAAAGAAGCCAAAGACCTTGCTGTATCAGACAAAGCTGTCGCATCATCATCAGCGAAAGGTCATTGACAAGCTCTCTGCCAAGATCGGCAACGAGCAGCTCGGTTTGTTCATTGGGGAGATACCAAGATGAAAAGGGAGTTTTGAATAGTTTGGAAGATGCTGTGATCTTTAACCGCCAGTTGTGATGTCTCTCTGATGTTGAACAAGAGATCCTGTGAGGAGACCAAGATGAATCGTTATTTTTCTTGTTGCACGCTCGGAGATGAATCATACGACACCGACGTCCGCAAGAGGTTCAGCAGCAGTACCCTGTAGCCTTCAAAGACCATTTAAAACATGGTTGACCTGCTTTTGTAGTGTAAACAGACATACAGACATAAAATGATTTATTAAATCGTCCAACAATGATTGTTGGGTGGCAACGGGCCTGTCAAATCAATGGTGTTTCGCATCCTGAAGGGGAGTGTACCGATCGTGTGTCCCTTTCCCATCGACGGTGAACGGCTGAGGTCCCTGGGATGGAAGGCCAAGACCATGGAGAAGTGGAACGGCCTCTCCATGCTGCAGGCAACGCGGCAAAAAGCTCCACTCAGTTTAGACATGTTTTGAATCCGCGCGCAAATTAGTTTTGCGCTGTGGAAACGCTTGGAGCGTGTTCTTTTTTCCACGGATTCTGCGCGTTTGGGGGCCCCAAAATATCCTGGGAGGCACGTTCGAGCCTTGTTGCCAAGCTGTTTGAGATCAGATTTGATCCAAGTTGTGGACAACAGTCATGACCTTGCGTCCGCATGACCAAAGGCTTTAAAGGCGTGGCACGGCAAGGCTTGGCACAGGAAGCATCATGTGTTATGGTCATGTTTGTAACCGCAGAATATTTTGTAAGGCACTTTGAAGTACGTTCGGAATTCAGGCGAGCCTCTTCTGCTGTTTTGGATGCCTCGGATGCTCAAAGAGCACGGTGCATGATGGAGACACGGTGATCGACCCGAGCAAAAGACTGTTTGGTCCAAGTCGCCCTTTTCTGGAGAAACGGGATTTCCATTAGATTTGGGCTTGATTTCACCAAGCCCCTGCGGCCTGCGGCCCCCCCAAAAAGGAGTTTGCCGGAAATCGGGAGCTCTTACAGGAATTGGTGTCCTGTCTGCGGGGGGGAGGAACTCAACCAGTGCGCCGGTGTCTTTTCCTTCCACTTTCTATCATCGAGTGTGCCGATCGCACCTGCCACAAACCATTTCACTCAGGTGAACTCCTATGCTGGCATCAAGCGTTCTCGTCGTAGCACAGCGATGTTGAGACAACATGCTGCGAAGCTCAAGACACTCTCAGGGAGGGTGAAGCGAAGGACGCGGAACAGACGGCAAAAGGAATGCGTGCGTGTCCCAACGCTGAAAGCTGTCGCAGTGACCATCCACCTTCCAGAGCTTTCAACGTGGTTTTTCCCTTGCGAAAACAAATAAACATTAAACAAACACTCTTGTGGAGACTAGTGGGCGTTTTTTTAATCTGACGATCTTGAGGTTCTGTCACAAGGATTCACAAGGTACAATTTGTTCTGCCACGCAGTGTTGTTGTAATACCAGCGGGAGCATCACCAGACTTGCATGAAGCGCAATATCTCTTTTGTTCGGACCGGTCTCAGGAATGTTACATTATACCAAATGTCATGACCAAAACCCCTTTGCTCATTACCATCTACTCCCTGTGTACCCGCTCTTAATCCGCAAGTGGGAAGGGCGCAAGTCCCGCGGAAGTCATGGATACCGTCACAATGAGCTTGCTTCGGGAGGTTGCGACTTATGACTTCTTCCAGGGACACACACACGATCACACACATATAATATCACATATAGAAGACGTTCGGAACTCCCTCTCTCCCTGAGCCGAATCGGTTTCGCTGTGGCTTCTCCAGCTATTGGAGCGACACGGTTTGGGTGTCAATCCAGGGGTGACATCGTTTTCCTTCTTTTTTTGGGGGGCGGGGGTCGACATGATGTCACATGTGTTCACGCCGAGTCCTCCGCAATGGCTGGGCCGGTGGACCGTCACCCCAATTTCTGGCATGGCTATCTGACCCAAGGCAGTGGGCCACCGCCACTGCCGGGTTTTCTTCCTAGAGACCGGCCAGTGCATGCCCAGACATGCCCAGAACGACTCGGGGACCAGGAGTTTCTTGCAGCAGACCAGTGTCCTGCAGCTCTCGAAGCCATTGCCGGGCTCCTGGGATTGGACCAATGTCACTGGGCGTACAGCATTGATTGGGTTCAGGGATGTGGATTGATTCATTTGATATTATGGATGAAGAAGAAGAAGAAGATCTCACTAGAAGCAAGTGAAGTGGAAGAACTGGAATGCAGAAAGGGCCAGACAAATGCTTTCTCAAGCTTTTCAGAAGACCAGAGTTCGCTCAAGTGTTGCTACGGACAGCTTAGAAACTACAGCCGTGATCGCAAGCCGACTCACCCGTATTGAGGTGAGTGGGCGCAACTTTGTTGAGCCTGTTATGGACCAATCTGAATGTGGAAGTTGCTATGTTGCTGCTGCGGTGCGTCTTTGGGCTGCGAAAGATGGGCTAGTTGGCCTCAAGGATCAAGGTGAATAAAGGGTCGGGTCATCAGGGGTCATCTATGAATCTATGGTCATTCATGGAATTCCTTGAACTCCCCAATTGCTTTAGTGCGAGATTTTGCCGATGCCTCTGGGCCTCTGTGTCCGAATTGCCGCACTCACCTCACTCATTACAATGTGACGGTGTCGTCACACCATGCCCTTCCGCTTTGGACAGATAATAAGCTTTGGACAGATAATCTAAATTTGAAGGTAATAAGTGATTCATGTAACTGACTATTTTGAACGGTTGAGTCTGAATGCTGCATTATGAATTAAAAGATGGCCTAGGGCGGGGGGAGGGGGGGTAAGGTGCCCAACACCCCAAAACACAACATCCAAGAACAACTGAAGTGTCCTTATAATATGTCAGGATGTCTAGAATCACTGTATCATTGTTTATTAGTAATTTATTCGAAATGGAGCGGAAAATATCCTTGGCACCAACTCAAACCAATTTGTTTAAAGTTTCTTCAGGTTTGCCATATTTTGCTGATAAAATAATGCTCTACCCCCACTCCGCTATCGTGATCTTCGCTCTTGATCATCGTCACTTTGGAGCTTGGACTCCGCTCCAATCCATTCCACTCCATTCCGCCACACTCCACCACTGTCCCCAAAACATTGTGTATGTGCATGTGTGTCCAGCATGTGTATGTGCATGCGTGTCCAGCATCACTCCGCATGGACCATGCGAAAGCTACTGCATGGATCCAAAATGATGCTGGAACACTAATGGCGCCAATTTTGCCCCCCAGCACCGACACGAGGGTTCTTGAGTAGTCATATTCCTTGCCTGGCCCCGGGTCAGAGATTTTTCAATAACCCGGCTGATCCGTCAGGACCCCCCTAACGCGTAGCATGGGCGGATTTGGTTGGGGATTGGATTTGCCGACCTGGGGACCCCCGGGGCTGGCTCTGGCCACCACCTCGGGTGGAGAACAGGGATAGACTATGGCGCCAAGCTCAGGAGTCCTCTTTTCATGTGTCGCGGTGAGCTTGGGGGGTGAGAGCCATACAGTATCATACAGTATCATACAGTGTCTGTGTGCAGCACATGGCCTCCGCACCACTCCACTCCACGCCACTCCACTCCACTTCACTCCACTCCAGTCCAGTTCACTCCACCACACTCCACCGATCTCCACCGCTTGCAAAAGGAACCCAGTAGCAAAAGGAAACATGGTTCTGGTATGTTCTGGTCATTTCTGGTCTTTGTTTTCCACTTGAGGGGTGTTGGAGTGAGGATGCATTTCCCTGGAGCAATCAGTGCCCCATAGTGCGCTTCGTGATGAAAAGGTCCCTCAACACAAACTGGGGGACAAACACATGATATCACGTGATGATTTGGGGAGTACCTTATTGCAAGTCAGACAGTCTCATCCAGGCACCATCCACCCATACTGATCACGAGGTTCGTATCGGCTTCACATGGAGTGGTGGAGTTTGTTCTGATATGTTCTGAATTGTTCTGATGTTTGATTGATTTTGATTGTCTTGGCCTGTCTTGGCATTGTTTTTTCTGGTGGTGTGCATGTCTAAGCGCTGGTAAATGCTTTTCAACCAAATCCACCACTTAGTGGCCCCCTTGATTGATGATTATTGTGATGATGTCAGGGTCATTCATACACTTGCTGAACATCGTGGCCCATCTGAGCCCTGTGACAACACAAAGACAAGTAGCGAGGGATTTTTTCAACCTGGCGTAGGCCGGTCCACTTTCTTTGATAATGGTGTAAAAGTCAATTGTTCTAAGTCGCCGGCCTTGCTGGCTGATGAAAAATCACACTCAGACTCAGACTCAGATTCAGACTCAGACTTGAGAAACATGCAAAGTGACAAGCGGCGGCTGGCGGCTGAGGAAGACTGAGTTTTGAACAATGCG